CAGCAGGAAATGTCAGGCCAGATTTGCACAAATTACAAAGGTGTGTGTGTGCGTGTGTGTGTCTTTGAAGAGCATGCCCGCAGCCCACATCTGCGTCTTACTGAAAATGTCCAGTGTCATATAAAAAGGGGAATCAATCAATAGTGTTCATAGTGTGCAGGAAAAAGAGAAATTTTGACCAACCAGGAGAAAACAAAAATAATAACAACAAAAAATATTTACAAATTCTGAAAGTGCTTTTATAACAAATACTGCAGCTGCCAATCTATATCAACACTGCTAAATATTTTAGTCTCTTTTTCTAAACGATGAAAATCTGTCATTTGAAGAAAGATTCAGGGCAGTGTGATGAATAGCTAGTGATTGTGGTATTATTGAAGGTATTGATTTTTATTTTTGAACAAATAAAGTAAGTTCGATCTGAGAAAACACAATAAGGCTTTTCTTTGGCCTTTGTCTCTAGTAAACAAAGGTTGAAGAACATCAATTATAGATTTAGCTCTGCCTTCCACAAATTATATTTTTCCTTCAAATCCTCTGTGCCACCATTCTGAGTCTGAAAAAGTCTGTCTGTTGTATAACTTTCACGCCAGTGACGGGAACAAGCGGCTACTCTGACGAGATGATGTCAGTAGACCAAGTGTCACCATAAATCCTGTTATGGCTGCCAGAATTTACTCTCTGGTGTTTGCAAAGCCCCTCGGATGGCAGCGAGGCCTCTCCACTTCTATCTCCCTCTGTTTGTCTCACACTGTCTCTTTTTTAATTACATACATCTTGATTATTTGGCACCCAGCTGTTACTTGTCTCAGCTTGAAACATGTGCGACGCAGGCAGGTGGTCCGGCTTCAGAAATCTGTCTGGTCTCAGTCTGAGACTAAGATAGTCTAATTATTATGTATCTCACTTCTTCCACATCAGTGGTTTGCCACTTCCACACATTTGTTATTTACTCCATGGCTGGCTGAGTCTGAGATGTGTAGACTGATGGATGGGTCATCAGGGGTTGCACTCGACTCACGAAGGAGAACGGCAAACAGAGAAGAGATGAACACACACAGAGAGAGAGAAAGCTCCCTGATTTTCACCAGGACGAGAGACGACAGGTGACGTGATGCAGAAGAGGACAGACTAAACTGTGAGAGAAAGTAATTTCATAATTACTGCAGTCAGTGCGGGGACATACAATGCTGACTGATTAATTAACTTCATATTCCAGCCTTTTCCTTCCTTTTAGAAACAATGTTAAGGTTTCTGACATGTTCCACATTTCTCAAACTCCAAGTGCTGATAGGACATCACTCAGTGGCCGTGATCTCCATGCTGTTTCAAACACAAAAGAATCCAGGAGCATGCATGCTTGCACATATGCTATAGCACACGCATAAATGAACACACTCTGTGAAGCCTATGCACGCAAGTTTTCCTAATTAACAATCACCCCTCTGATCTGCAACAGAGTACAGTCCAGGTTGGCAAACAAACAGGAGCTTGAGGAAAGACCCTTGAGGTATTTGTATGTCAAATGACAGTTAGCCAAGAGGTGTTCAAAATTACAGCAAGTAAGTTTAAAAATAAGCATTGAAGACTTTGCCAAAAAGTACCGTGAGAGAAAGAGAGAGACAAAAATAACACAGAAAAGCCAAGCATTGCCCCAAACAGGTCAAATTTAAAACTTGAAAAATTTAAGGTAAGACATAGAGGCTAAATATTGCCACATTAATTAAAGTCTCCACCCTATTTCATTTTTGACACCCACTTTGTCCTTAAAGTGGATGTCTACTGTTTATACAGACACTTGTCCTTCTGTTGGGATGAAAGCTACTTCTTTTTGTCTCTTGACATTAAGTGGACTTCATGATGCAGTTTTATCGCAGCACAACCCTGTACAGAGACTACAATTGGTCAGCTGAGAGGAGCAGTATATATTGCACATCACGATCAAAGAACTGGTGCAGAAACAAATATAAGGAACAGACAAGCAGTAGTGAGGAGATGTGGATCTGTTATAAAGTGAATGAAGACAGAGAAATAGACCCTTTATCATTGTGGAGTCAGGGATAGAGAGGTAGTTCTCAGAGGGAGCAGACTGACCCAGCAGGGCTATCAGGTTTCAAGTGGAAAACTGGGTGAAAATAATTGTACAAAAGTACATAGCAGAGATTTCTATATAGATCAAGGTCATGGTAGCAGCAGTGGAAGTCAAAGTAACCTAGAAGGCAGGTTCATCCTAATCCTGCACCGCTTTTATCTAAGCAGTGTTTGGACAACTTTTAATCCTATTTTGTGATTGTTTTTCACAAATCATATAAAATAATTGATGTTTTTAAAACAATGTGCAAGACAGTTTGGAACAAACAGAGAAAACTTCTGTGTCAGTGATGTTTGTGTTCACAAGTTATCTAAAGATAAAAAAAAAAAATTAAAGACACTTTTGATCCATTTGTCAGACTGTCCCTCAGAAATGATAGCTATATTATCATTCATTATCAAGGATCAAGCAGTATTGTTTTAATTCAGTCTGTTTATGTCTGATGTCTAGACGTTACTGCACCGACAGACAACTCCACAGTTAATGGCAGGTAAATACAGGTATATGCAAAAAAAGTTGCAGCAGGTCTATTAATGGTGCCATGACGTGAGGAGAGGAACACAGACCAGTCCTAGCGTCTGTCGATGTTTTGTTTACCCTTCCAAGATTCAGACTCATATTGGAAATGATTGACACAATAATTCATTGACCATCATGGAGGTGACACTAGCAGGATATGAAGCAAGCTGTGTTCAGATGTGTGGTGTCTGCATCTAGTTATTTTCATGAATTGTCTTCAGTGCAACATGGGTGATATTGGGCTGGTGGAGAAGAGATGCTTGAAGCTTTTGAAGAAGAAAGAAAAGCCTGATAGTGCTGTGTTTACAGCCTGCTAACCACAGACAGGCAGACAGCCCAGGACACACATGCTGCTATCACAAAAATATGTGAGAGCTCTCACAGAAGACAGTGCCTCGATAGCAGTGATGTTCTTTCACAAAAATGACACCATCTGTCTTTCACAAACACTGTCAACCCTCCTGCCTTTTTCCTTTTTGCTGTTCTCCATAGTTCTGCCTGAACCACATTATCTGTCTGTGCAGCACAGTAACCTTCTCCAGGCCCTGCAAGGCTATTGTGAGTGTCTGTGAACAATACAGCACTCAAACACAAGTGCCCCCGCCCCCAACCCATGTCAACTCACCACCACTAGGTTGTCACACCTATTAGAAAATGATGTAATGCTTCCCATTATAATGGATGATAGAACAGGTCTGTAACTTCTCCTTATCACTCAGCACTGGTCCCTGACAGGGCTTTTCAACACTCTCTTTCATAGTTTATTAGGTACAGCAGGTTTCTCAGTGTGCTGAACAAAACCAGAACTGAAACCAGCAGAACACTCACACAAGTCCACAGCACCAGAAGGCTAATGTTGACTGATGGAAATAGCACTTGGACAAAAGAAAACCAAAGACATAAAGAAAAACGTGTATCAATAATAAAATGTGGTTTAAGCCTCTAAAAAGTCAATTCTCTATACATGTCAAAACTTTTTATTCTGGAACAAATATTACCTTGTTGGTCATTCACTTCTACTGGATAAAACTAAATGCACTTTGACCTTCTTGACTTTGACCTTATCAATCATACCTCTAATCATCTAAGGTTGCCACTGGCTCCACTGTTTTGTGGGACTGCACGCCTTCAATCGAGGTTCATCAAAATGGTTTAAAAATGCCAAATTCTCCAAACAGTAACCTCTTACATTTGAAGAAAAAAGTTACACTTACATTTTCCGCGCAAATTATACTATATATGTGTAAAGCAACGCAACACAAAACAGGTGAATTATATCATACTGAAGTCAGACTCCTTCAGTGCCCAGCTAGGATACTGCGATGATCTTATCCATTCTTCTCTAAGTTTTTACTTCAGCTCTGCATCTTCTATTTTCCATTAGTAAATATATTAGTCACATCATTCTAAATAATAACACTAGTAAAGAAGAAGAGGAATGGGGAAAACATGAATGAGAGAGTGGAGGGAATCGTAAAAGCCTCTTTGCAGCCTTACTAGGATGTAAAAACAGCAGTTATTCTCTGACATGCATGGGAAATGTCCCAGAGATCAAGAAAAATTTCATCCACTGACATCATGCTAAAAATGTTTGGTGTTTACTGCACTGTGCTCAGTGTGATTGGACTGAAGCTCTCTGATTGGCTGGCATGGAGTCCAGGACATGCTTTGTACGGTTTGAGGTCTGAGACTCGCTCAGATGTGTGCATCCTTGTTGCCGTTGAGCCCAGCTGTTTTCCTCTGATAGCACACGGTTGTCCAGCGTTGTTCTACCGTCTCCCACTGACACAAAGTGCGTGATCATTAATCTTCAGCAGCTTTTCTTGTGTACTCAAGAGAGTACAGCCTGGAACAACAACAGCAACTTTACACTTTTCTAAAAGCACTTGTGCAAAGAGGAAAACCTAATATCGTAATTAGGTAGTGTCAACGTCTTGTATTTTAATTTATAACCTGCAGACACTGCCATCTGGAGTCTTTAAAAGTCAAATATCTTGCTTAGGGACACATCAGCATGAAGACAAGCAAAGCTTAGAATCAAACCCTTCTGGCTTAAAGAGAACCCACTTCATTAATCTCACAGCTACTTTTTGGATTTATTACCATTTTTAAAAAATCCCTCTTATGATTTTTCACCAATTCCTATTACAAAAACAATTGCCAAAAGTAATAATAATAATAATAAATTATAAAGATTGATTTTATTCCTAGTTTTTGTTCTCAGAGCAGAGCGCAGTAAAGTCGCTCCAGGAAGCAGTGACTCATTCAGTATTCCTCGGAACAGTCGCCTCGGCGGCGCGCATGGAGACCAAGTTCTGCGTCGGGTGCGCAGCTCACTGTCCTGACTAAGAACCCGGATTATTTCAGAACAACAGATCAAACCTCGCCCTCTCCCTTGGACATGTAACGTGAAAAGCCCGAGCCGGTGGATTGTTATTTCGCACTAAACTTACACAGGGAACCCCCTCCACGCGTGTTGGTCCGCTGAGCGCACATACTGATCCAGCAGCAGCAGCAGCGGCAGCGGTCGTCATGACTTCAGCTCTGTCGGCCACCAAAGCTTTCTACATTGGGATGGAGGTGGTGATCGCCGTGTCCTCGGTCATTGGGAACGTGATGGTGGTGTGGGCCGTGCGCATTAACAGGTCTCTGAGAGACACCACCTTTTACTTCATCGTTTCCCTGGCCTTGGCTGACATTGCAGTCGGGGCTCTGGTCATTCCCCTCGCCATCACCATCACCGTGGAACTCAGGACGCACTTCTACAGCTGCCTGCTGGTCACCTGCACGGTGCTGGTCCTCACACAAAGTTCTATACTGGCGCTGCTGGCCATCGCTATCGACCGCTACCTGAGAGTTAAGATACCCATGAGGTAGGCCGAAAGGTGAATTCTCCTTTAGTTCTCACTATCTACCCCTGTGTGAAAGCCTTTGTGTCTGGAGCGCTGCTGAACATGAAGGACACTCAGATAAACAGTCTGCCAGGGCTCAGTCACAGGACGTGTGTGAGTGTAGTGTTCACAGATAGAACTGTGACACCTTCATTTAAGATTCCAGTTAAAATTAGACTTCTTTAAATTCATGCTTCTCTGCCTTGGCATCTCAGTGATATGAGTGCAGCTAGACATTATGGCTACATACAGTGTTTGGGTCTTTATCAGATTGTATTACTTTCATTAAAAATGAATAGGTAGATAGACAAACAGATAGACAGCATGTCTGTGAAATATAAATGTGAGAGGCATCAGGCATGTCATTGATGGAATAGAACAAAATAGAACACAATACAGTAGACATTACAAATCATTTTAGCACTTATCTGGTATTATTATTATTATAATAGTATTATAGGAAATCTATAAACTCAATCTGCTGGTAGGACATGCTTTTCAAGCAACAGTGGGTTTTTTTTTTAAAGCAGAGGTGTTCTGGAAGCATACAGCCATGACAAAGACCAGTCTGGGATTTTTGAATGCTGTTATTCATCCTGAGAGTGTAACACATAAAAAGATATTTGCAGATTCCACCTGCCATGTCATCTACAGTCACCACCCCCCCCCACTTCTCAGTAAAGACTTTAGTAAGTCACCGTTTTATCTAGACAGATGAGTCTTACAAGTTTATGAAAGTCAGTGTTTTTTTAAAAAATACTATCAACTTCCCCTGTGAAAAAAAAAAAAAACTACTCCAGAAAAAAAAGAAGAAAGACTTTTTCATGTCCGGCCAAGCTCTGTGTGAGGGTTCTCTGTGGCTGAGTGTGTGGTAATAAAGAGCAAATAGGGAAGAAAAAAAAAGAATTGTGAAAGTCGAGCTTCTTTCTGCTGTGTGTGCACATCTTTGTGTTAGTCAGCGACCAGATGCCACACAAGAATCTTGAAAAAAATGCTAGACATACACAAACAGGGATTCAGATGAAGTTATGTCATTTAATAATTAGCTTTGACTAAATAGCTCTTACTAATTAGAAATAAGGAATAATTTTAAAAAATACCACTACAAATTTGTAAACTTCAATCATGGAAGTGTGTAGTAATGCAGCATTGGATACCAACGTGTGGCTTGAAAGTGAAAAGAAAGAAACAGAAGCAAGTACTTCTAAAATTACCCTTTTTAACAATGTGATACAAGTTACCTAAAAATGATTAAAAATATATTTCACAAGGAACACGTAGAATAGAGAACACAGTAAAGACTGGATTCTCAAGCTGAAATAAAGCAGAATGTAGTATCTAATAAATGTGTTTCAACCTTCTGTAACACAGAACACATCCAGACAGGCTTTTTCTATTACTCTGCTCATCTCAAGTTTTGAAATGTGATAGATTTAAAAAATGTTTTACATTAATGTTCATTATGAAGTAAATGTTAAAAAACATTTTAAAAAGGGATATTGTCATGTTTCTTCTCTTTTTCTGTTTTTCCCCATTGTTGCCATAGCTACAAGCGGGTCGTGACCCCTCATCGAGCTGGCATGGCTGTGCTGTTGTGCTGGCTGGTGTCAATCATAGTGGGCCTCACGCCGATGTTCGGTTGGAACACTCTGCAGCGCCTTCAGGAAAATGGATCACTGAATAGCAGTGACCTGACTGTGATCTGTGAGTTTGAGACAGTCATCAGCATGGACTACATGGTCTACTTCAACTTCTTCAGCTGGGTGCTGCCTCCTCTACTGCTCATGTTGGCCATTTATGTTGAGATCTTCTACATCATTCACAAGCAGCTCGACAAAAAGGTGAGGCTTTCATTTTCCTTTAATTCATAATTAATAATATTGTTTTGAACAATTGTAATTTCAATATTGATTAAAAAAAAAACTGTAATTATGATTTTCTTTTTTCATGATCCAGCATAGTCAATACACAATTAACCAAACATAACCATTCCTTTGATGAGTGGTGAAACAACTTTTTTACGCTGATGATATTCTGCTTAATATCCCTACAGGTGACAGCAAGCCACACAGATCCACGACGTTACTTTGGCAAAGAGCTGAAACTGGCCAAGTCCCTCGCCATTGTCCTCCTCCTCTTCGCAATCAGCTGGCTTCCACTTCACATCCTTAACTGCATCACTCTCTTCTGCCCTACGTGCCAAAAGCCTGTATTCCTCATATACATCGCCATCATCCTCAGCCACGGCAACTCTGCAGTCAATCCCATTATTTATGCATTTCGTATTAAAAAGTTCCGCATGGCATTCTGGAAAATCTGGCAACAGTATGTCCTTTGTTGCAAAGTGATTGAGCGACTTCCTCAGAGACGCAGCTCCAGAGGACAGTGTCGCGAGAGTCGGCTGAGGCACCTTGATGATGATGATGATGATGATGTGTGAGCCTTACATTGCTGTTTGTTTGATTCTAGTGGCTACAGAATGAAACGGACACTAGAGGGATCAGCGTTACCTCTATGGTCAGTGGATAACAGATAACACAGATGAAAGAACTTCAGCTTGGACTGAAGTCTTTTTTCCAGTCAGACTGGTAGTGAGGTGAACTTCGTCAATTAGCCTGTGTCGAGAATGAGGCTAATTGTTTCACCACTAGCTGATGAAGAAAATATGATGATCTTCATGTTGTGTGGGATGAGATCATCTGTTTCAAGTTGACCTAAACCTAGTACAGCAAGTATAGTGTCTACTGTATTTATAGGATCAATAATAATATTCTGTGTTTGTAAACTATATGAAAACTCGTGCATTTCGTGTGAATTCAGATGCTGATAAATTTAAAAAAAGTGCTGCAGTTACTCAGCTAATTTTCAGAGGCCTTAAACTACAAAAACTCAAAATGAACAGAATATATTAGACATTGCCGCTAACATAGTAAATGAGTGATGTAATGAAGTACTGTAATAGTAATTTACCAACAGTGTTAGTGGCTAAAGTAACCATGTTTTCTCATGACTTTTACACATGTTCTATGGTGCTAGCTGGTTCTATGGTATTAGCTTGTGTCACTGTCATTTCTTAAACAAGGTTAGATTTCAGTGGTTTTCACATTTCGTTGGGTCTGCGGCAGGAAGCTGATAAGACACCAAAAGGGTTTCCCAAGCACACACAGTCACATAGCCCTTCCACAAAACTCTAAAACCACCGGAAACAATGATAAACCTTCCAATTTAAGTCCCACAGGGAATCCCGGAGCCATCCATTCCTTTTAATCTACATGACCATCTGTGGTTGACTGGACTTTATGGCTCCGTCCACTTCCTTTGTGATAACACCCTGCTCATCAACAAAAGGTTCTTCCAACACTGCTGAATCATGGAACAGCAGTGCCAAATAACGGCGACTGCAGGCATAGCATGATACAAGAACAATAATATGATTGGCCACAAGAGGCCTAGCCTCTCTCTTCCATTGGCCTACAAGATTTAAACACACACCCGGGAAGTCGAAAACCACTCCCCCTATACACAGGTATACAAGTGTAAACAACTAATGATACTTTACTTATTCTTGAGAAGTTTTAGTTCTTGGATTTGCGTATTAGTCAAATAACTAATGTGAAGGTCACACAAAGATGGAAAGATATGACACAGGATTACAGGAGAATGAATAAGAAGACAGGTGGTCGAGGAAAAACAAGTGTGTGTAATTTTATGTAAACACTGCCACCAGGAACTTCACACATCAATGTGCAGCCCTGCCATTTCTCCCTCCTCACATTCATGTAAAACTCATTTGTCATGCGATATCATTGTGAACTCCAACCAAAGGACTGAACTGTGCAACAACAACAAGAGCATAGAAAAGAGGATATAAAACAGCACGTTTTTCTCTCTCAATGCAACCGCAGCATACGTCTTGTTTACAGAATAGTTTAGAAACTCAAGGCTTAACATGATGCTTAAGTTTGTGTCAACAGTAAGCATATACTGTAAATGATGATTAAATTTACAGTGTTCCAAATAATTATACCCTGTGGTTTTTAATGGTTATCTCTAAGAAATCAATGTGATTAAATTATTATTTTTTTTATTTAATTAAAAGAAGCCAGACTTTCAACACCCCCCTCCCCCCCCACTGCTTTATAGTGGAAGCAATAGTTTAATTGGTTAGTCTAATTTGAACATAGGTATTAGCTGACGTGTGATTGGTTGTCTGTCACCATATACATATAGTCATTTGAATACCTGAAGAAGTGTATTACCTTAAAATATTAGAGATCGTCTGTATGTCTCAGTGAAGTTACAATTTGGGTTTTGACAGGAAGGGCATTACTGCCACCTACTGGCTTAACCTTCTTACTGGGAAACATTTCCATCCAGAAGGATCCAGATATAATTGTTTGTCTTTTGAGTTAATATTCGTTTGCGAGATACCGAGGATCTATCTTTGGCTGCTTCGACCTCCTCCATAGCTAATCTAATCAATTGGCTGTCATTTCACCTCTAGTCTTACAGAAATACACATCCAAGGTCACTGTGAAGTCGAGAGTCAGGTAAGGCGGCCGATGGCAGACAATCAAGTTTTGGGCTGAAAACGCAGTGTACAGATGTTTCCATTATTTTATATTCATTAGAAAATGTAAATCCAAACTCTCTGACCTATGTACATGCAGGTCTGCAAAGTTGATCACATAATATGGGAATTACACTCTCATTGATGCTGCATCATGACACACATAAATAGTAGTTTCAAATCCTAGTCTGAAAATCATGACAACATATGCGTAGATTAGTTTGACATTTTGGCGATCAGTGATGAAAATCATGACAACATATGCGTAGATGAGTTTGACATTTTGGTGATCAGTGAATTATATATATATATTTTTTAAAAGGCACATAAATAAAATAAACAGTTACAGCTGTGTAATTTATGTATTTTAAAACTCCAAGATAAATGCAGATAAGATAAATACGCCTTTACCCATAATATATACCACATTAAATTAAAAAAAAGAAAGAAAAAAGACTGTATCTAATAATCAGCTCTCTGCTGCTATTAAATGGACCAGAGTCACAAAACCCTGCTCATGACCACTCTTGAGCAAAGGTCCAGGCACCTGTAGGACTTCACTAACTAGCTAACCTTCAGCCTGTTTATGGTTGTCACCCCAAAACCAAGTTTACAAAGCCTATAACCTCAGGACAGGAAAACAGAAAGGAAACAAACAGGACAAAAGCCAGGTGGTCAGCTGTTTGTATTGCTACATGGTTCACATATTCAAACACAGACATGCAGCAGGCACAGCGGCCACACAGAATAAAAGAGAAATGATGCTCCCTACTGTTTTGAAGGTCTTCAGGATGACCAATCTGGAAAACAAACCAGTCAGAGACCAGTCAAGTTAAGTACTGACGCTTTATGTGTGAGCACAACATTTGTTAAATAATTACCTTCTAAAGTTTTACTCAACATATCGCTCACCTTTTCTTCCATTTTCAGAAGAGTACTTTGATGCTGGACAACTTTGACCTGGTCTGCAGAAATCCCAACGTATCTGTTCATTTCAAACATTCTTAATTACAAGTTTAATACAATGTCACCATTTTTTTTTGTAACAAATGATTCAATGAGTTAAATCTCCAAACAAATTATGACACGGGTCAGCCATTTTAGAATTAGATTCAGCAAAGCAAAACAATAAATTAAAAAAAAAATTTTTTTTTACACTTAAAGTGACTTCTAAGCTAGTTTTAAAATTAATACACCACCAAAACGCTAACATTAGAGAAGAAAACTCCTATCGTCGCTTACCGTTCTATCTCACCCGTTCACCTGGACCAGGTCGAGCCGCCATTAAGGAATAACTTCTTGCACCTGTGGCTTTTAAAGCACGCGGCAACTTTTTCAGCGTCTTGGGTCACACGCCGCTACCGTTTTTCCCTTTTCGGTGCTTTATTAATAAAGTACAAAACAAACATATACGTGCAAAGAGATATTTCCTTTTGAAGATATTTTAAGTTGTTATATAATTTTGGTGCCTTCATTACCTTAAGTTTTACATTATCGCTTTCATGAACATTTTAATTAATTCAACATACATTTGGGGGATGTTTATTGTACTCTATTATTGGGCATAAAAAAGTATTATATTACATTATTTTTGTTTCGCAAGTTTGCCCGTATATTTCGCTTTGCCTGCGCTGTATCTTTGTGACATGAGTGCAACGAAAAAACCCTGATTGTAGTGCAGAAGAAGTTGGAGTAGGTGGATGATGACGACGATGATGACTCGTTTACGAGACATTTAAAACACCTGTTGAGATTATTGAGTTAAGAAGACCTTTTCTGTGTTCTTCAGTGCGGTGATGCTCTACTGATGCCACCTTGCGCCGCTGAAAACACTCTCCGACGCATTTTACAAGTTGCATTATAAACATCTACACTTCTCACTCACGTCTATACTTTCGCAAGTGTTTTCGCTTTTATGGACGTGGCGGAGTATCCCAGCGTTTACATTTTTAAAAGGCGTGGTTTGATTTACATAACCTTGACATTTTTTATAAAATCAGTATAAAATTAAGATTTTGCCTACAAATTGACTCTATGTTATTTGTACATATAAAATGTACTGTAAATACCTCAAAACAACCTCCTTTAAATACTGACTCTTCGAGTGGAAACACATCCCCGCGTTTATCAAGCAAAACTTTTTTTCTTCTTTATGTTGCTATTCTGTTCTATCTCCAACACGATCATAACGTATGTATATTGAGTTAGTACAGTCATTGTTTATAAAATAAAATCTTCATCCATAATAAAAAACAGTTTACATGTAATAATATTCTATTATAGTAAGGAAAAAGACAAACACTTCATTCATAGTGAATATGTGCTGACACATGCTTTTCGCATTTTATTAAAATTATTAGAAAAGACAATGAAATGAACATACCAACACCACAACAACAACAAAGAACAATAAATTACACAATGTTGTTGTTTTCACTATGTGTACTGTATGTAAACCATTATTGTTTTATATTCAGCATTATTGTCAAAGAGGGAAAATACATCTTACGATAAACAAACATATAAGGCAGAGAAACATTAAGTACATTAGGTGTAAATTAAAAATTCATTGGCTTGTTGCTGGTGAAGAGTGTGTTTACCACTTGATAGCACAGTCTGTAAGAAAATCACTGAGTCATTTGGAAGATTTTTTTCCCTGTTATTTGTTTCACTTTTGAAATATAAAAAAGTGGAACAATTGATCTGCTCAACTGTGTTCCTATACTGTAAAACAAGTTGATGTAAAACATTCACACAGGCCTTTCATATCTAACTATGACACCAACATACTTGACTTCAAAGTATCTTACAGCAAAAGCCATGGTCCTTAAAAAAAACAATATATCAACGCAGGTGCGAGGACAATGATTGTAGAGTGTAGAAGAAATGGCACAACTGGGATATTACACAGGATCAAATTTCATCAGAAAAATGATAAAAGGACAGAAGAAATTGTCCAAGAAGGCTAAAAAAAACAAACCTGTTGTTCAAGTTAGTGACTGTTAAAGGAGCTACAAGATTCTCCAGCAGGTACTTGGTGCTTCCCTAACGTAAACGTTTTCAAAATGGCTTTAAATATAGATGTGTTGGAGTCAATGATTGATATAAAAACATACATTGTACAAAATGTGTTTGTTGCACAATTGTATAATTATTTTCTTTCTGACAGTATTTGTGTATCTGTCAGTTTAAGTAACTAATTGACTTAGTTTAAAAATTCCGGGGACATAGGTTAATGATTACCATAAATACTAATAACTCGAATAGGAAGCTAACCCAATGATTGTATAAATTGCATCTTAATATTAGAGTTACGTTGACCTACCACCATAGTACAGGAATGAAATGTTTCATATTATCTTTAAGTTAATAAAAAAAAAGAAAGAGTAGCTTTGCATTAATTCCAAATCCTGTATTTTGCGCACATTTGAGAGCATGGGAATCTCTTGACCTGAGGTGGCTTCTTGCAACTACTACAGATTACTAACAAAGTGTTTTCCCGTACGGTCGGATATGGTTCTGTTTTGGTCACCCTGATGACAACACAGTGACTCCCTGAATGAAGGAAGGATTTCTATTGTGTGACTCAAACACGGCCCTGAAAAATGAACACACAAGGAGAAAAGGGGAAACCATCATTAAGAATTTTCTTTTACAAACAGCTTAAACTGACGCACAATTTGACTTAAAAATAATATATACATTGCATGAATAAATCAATTAAGTCCACAAAAGGCAATTGTTTTTTCCAATCAAAAGGATGAAGAAAAACGGCCGGCACTTTTTATATACTTTTCCCAAAACCTAGCAAATGTCAAACAAAAAAGTAGGATTTATTTACTTTCTATTACTAAACCACTCATCTAACTTTTGTTTAACCTACCTTCCTACTTACCTTCATCTTCACTAATACTATACTATACAGTATATCAGTTAATCTTCTCTCTCTAAGTGACCATGAAGAAACTCACCCATCCACCTTGTTGAGCCACCCAGGCTCCTACACGCCTGTTGAGGAATGCTGTCATGGCACTCTGGACAGTGTTTTTCAGCTCTGGGGCTGACTTCTTCACATAGAGACCAAAAGCCACTGAGGCTCTGATAATCTGCATCTCAGGAGCCACCTCTGCTCGCTGGGAGACCTGAGACTGGCACAAGGCCTCCACACCAAGGCCGAATGCTGCCTCTGCAGCCTGGAGAGGAGGGACACAAAAAGAAAGGTCCTGAGTGATATAACACAGTGGACGGTGATATGTTCAAATCTGAATGCAACAAGTGCTTTTTGTCCAATAAACACTGCACGTTACATGTTCTCACTTTTGGTGCTATATTGCAAGTGTAAATGAACCTAGATAAGCAAAAACATGTAAATCCCACGAGAGCATACATTTATAATGGTTTAAATAAAAATGTCATGCTTTTTTTTATTTTAGCTCACTGAGACACTGAATAAGAAAATGAAATTGGATAATGTCCAGTCACAACACATTAACCTAAATAAATAGCAAGAGACATCAATTACACAAATAATTTGTGTGGGAACATGTTTTTGTACAGTATATGTTTTAGACTTTTTGGCATGAAAAATAACCTGTCTCAACCAAAAGTCCATTATGATTACGGCCTGGTCCTACTGATGAAGATTAGAAGCTTAGACTATTTTTAAGCATTGAAATAAACTTATAGTTAGGATTTTTGTGTAGTGTAAACAAAATTATGTTCATAAGCAGGTTCTTATTGCGGTCCAGAATTATGTCTGTGTGTTTGTGCATGTACCTCTTTTGCCACAGCTGTCTTTAGTTCATTAAGTGCTGCTTGAAATGCAAGGTCATCATTCAGATCATCAGCAATACAACGTAGTTTATCAGCAATCTGAATTGGATCAAACTCATCTGAAATGAACAAAACATTACACAAATGTAAATGGATATTCATATCCAAACTGTAGAGCTAAACTGGCTTCATAAATTCAAGAATTTTGCAGCTAACTAGGCAGCTTATAAATTATAGAGGACATCAAAAACAAACACACAGAACACACACATACACAATTCTATATTTCATTATTCTAAGGTATTAATAATAATAATAATAATAATAAAGAGTAGACTGGGATTGATTAGAATACATTTTTCTTGCATAATGTTTATGGTACAACACTCAAACATTGTCAAACACTGACACAAAATACCTCTTACCTATCTTCTAGGTTCAAAGAGAGACCCTTTAGTTTTGCACTTAAATTGTAACATTAAGTTCTCACTACAACTTCACTGTTGCACACTCCACACAAACAGATTTCATTTAAGCTTTAATCATGGCACATTATAAGAGAATGTATTCATTGGAATTTAATGATCTCAAGTTTTGTATGACCTATTGCACAAAAAAAAAAAAAAAAAAAGAAAAGAAAAGAAAGAAAATACCACTACTGTGGGCGCCCTGCAGCACTGGAATTGGACCTGGGGCTGCTGGGCCCTGGAAGTGCAGTCGTAGGCTTTCCTTATTTTTATTTTTGAAAGGTGACAACCCTAATGTCAAAGACAAAGAGTACCTTTGTTACAACCTACACCAATACAGGGGTAGGTTGTAGCTTGGGTAAATTGTGACACTGATGAACGTAAAACTCTACAACTAAACAACACAATATGCTTCAAAGTAAGTTTTTGTGAACGTACCAACTTTGAAACATATTTCTGTGTTACAAAGAACATAAAAAAGCAAGACTAATCTCTAAAGGATGAACAGTGTCTGAGTTGTGGGTCTTCACATTAATAGATTTACTTTTAGAACTTTTAGAACATTAAGCGGAAACGTAATGTCATTAAATAAATAACACAGATTAGAAGGCGTTGCAAAACGAGATTCACATTGTGCATATTAAGTAAACTGCTGTACGCGCTCTCTAGTGGTACATGGGGAAAATTCATATTTTCACATTTACATTTTCAATTGAATAAATCTGAAACATACTATGCATGATTAATACAACATTTAAGCATAAACATCTTTATAAACATCTCTCCTGTGTGGTGGAAGGCCTATGATGCGATATTCTAATGTTGGTCATCATGGTGGTACTCAGAGAGCTCAATGTTTTCTCAGGTGTTACTGTATAAAAAGTTTGAGAACCACTGAGCTAGCATTTATTTCACTGTAAGCCACGGAGAATACAAACCAGTACAAGCCAGATGCGTCTAATACAGGCATAAAGGCGCCCCTTCCTGAAGCATTATTCAACTAAGTGGACAACATTATAGTCGTGACCTCCCGTGTCCCGTCCAATTTTTACTGAAATAATTTTAAGCTACAAAGACATTTACATCCTGGACCTAAAGGATGACCATGTGAAAACGAAAGTGCACGCAGTGCAGCTGACGTCTGACCCACCCGTACTCTGTCCTGCAGAATAATACAGACAGAAACAATAATAGAAGATAAACGACAGACAGACCTGGGCCGTCACTCTCTATACAATCTTCAAACCGTCCACACTCGAACCGTATCTGGTCGTTAAACAAACACCTAATTATTTCAGTCGTCTGCCATTCAAGAACGGCTTTGTCTGTCGGTGCCATGGTTGCTAGTGACGTTCTTTATCTTGAGGGGCGGGATTACGTGTAACTTCCGGCGTGTGTTTACGAAACGTCACATTCCACCTGGGCCCAATCCCTTGCGACTTTAGCCTGACGTCATTTGCTCAGTTACTGAATATTTCATTTCATTTTATGTGAATAGTTTCGGAATATAAAAAAATAAAACCTTTCAGAAAAACCGGGAAGTCGGTTGGTACAACTACAATGTTGCAATTGTTGCACAATGTTGCACCACTAAAGCTTCTACGTATGTTAAATACTTTCAGCTTTTAAAGATGGTGTTCCAGGTTTTACAATGCGTTGGCATTAAATTGCCAAGACGTAGTTCTACCATTGACCGTAGCAATAATATGAATGTGTTTGTCTTGTGTTTATTGCGGTTATATGTAACAATTCATAAACCTCTTCCTTTTTTCTTTTATTTCCAACTTTTTTACATTTCCTACCAGAAGGGGGCGACCTTTATCTACTTGTAGAATTTAAGACGAACGCTCTGCCCCACCCTATATACAGAAAACATGGATTTAAAAA